GCTAGTGAGTTTAAGTTAATATGTAATTGTGGCGGTAGTGATCAAAAAATATTAAATTAAATTAGATTATGTTTGTTTTAATATGCTAAAGTAGAGTAAAATTCGATTAACATGAACTTTTGTTGCGCAGGTTACGAATGCTAAGAGTATTTTTTTTATAATTTGATGGGATTTTTGGGGCCTCTAAAATCAGTCCTGCCGTTGTTTGGAAAGGATGACGACAGAGCTTGAACGAAGGGGGCATCCGTAGAAATAAAACCAGCTCGTTTCAATGTTTGCACAGAGAATTAAGATAAAGAGGACATTCCGGCATATCGCGTTTGGTGTGTTTAAATAGACTATTCTAATGTGCAGGACAAATCAGCGTTAACAACTGGAGGGCGAGCAAACGTACACCAACCTGGCTGATAAGGCATTTGTGTCGGCAACCAAGAACGAAATACGGGGCCAAAATACATTTGAATCCGTTGACATTCCATAAACCGCAAAATCAAGAAATATATTAGTCCACCCGAAGTTTCATCGGGATCTACGTTTTTTGATGCTAGAAAAAAGACAAGGTCGTGTGCCGGATTCGACAGGAAGAGCTACCGATTTTCATGACAAATATGAAATTATTCTTTTAAACTTGTCTGGGAAGGATTCCAAACATTGTACGTTAGGCAAGGGGGGGGGCAAATGGAACTTTGTAAAAAAACAGTGAATCTAGAGATGGAACATGCATAAGGTAAAGGACAAAACCCATACCCTTGCCAGTTACAACAGCATAGTATCCCAGAGCTTTCATTGGGAATAGGCGACCTTCAAGAATTTCCCGAATCTGCAGTGAAAAGAAGCGAACATGAAGCAACTCTAGAGAAGTTACTCATCATACATTTAGACGTTCAACAAAAACTATAAAGGTGCAGTCCGGACTGAGGACGTCTTTTAGATTCCAAACAGAAAACTACTGTAACCGTTTCGGGCCGTCCAGACGGGATGATTCGGAAGCCAGAATAACCGACCGGTGTCAATCTAGGTAAGTGGAGCCAAACTCCCACCACACGAGTCCATTTATTCTTAGAACTTACTTCAACAAATAGCTGACCCCAGTTCCTTAAAGGTAAGAAGAAATGCACTCTACAACCAATAAGAAAAAGCCCAAGAGATTTAACGTATCCCCTCTGTTCTATGGAAACAAATGTTTTAAAAAACACATTTGAATAAGGCAAAAGTGATAGAATATGCAGAACTTCATAATGTCTATAGAGAGGCCATAAAAATGGGACTTCATACAATTCTGCACATTTGCCCGGTCTGTATTATTACAATTTATTCTGAGGAAAATGTTTTATATGGAAATATAATTCAACCTACACGGCTGGGATTGTACAAGTTTGACTCCGCCAGATCCACCTTCGTAAGTACGAAGATAGTCCGTTTGCCCTGAGGATCCACTCCAGTTACGAGATCAGTAACATTACTTCTCTCCGCATCAATGCTTCCGTCTAAATGATGGGCATATATAATTATCAATACATTGGAGGTTGCAACCGAGTTGAAAAATGCAATAGTATGGCTGCAGTAGACATATCCAACCACCAAAATGATAGAGGGCTAAAAAGGGGTTTGTCCAACAGCATAAGAGCAAAATAATTTTCTAATAAGATAAAAGTAGGACAACTACTTTGTTGATCATATAACTTCTTTTACTACACGCCCCGCGGTCTTATTAGAGACGAGAGGGTCAAAAGACAGCGGTTTGTCGGTTGAACCAACCTAACCTACATTCTGCTATTAACAATCCGCCCAAATAAATTTATCATTGACAAATCTTTCTCCATTGCCGTGAGAGAATCAACACCAGTGTGGCTACGCGTATCAAGAAACTAGGCATGTCTTTAACCAATTTTCGGCAATCAGGAGCAAGCTTATCGTGAGGCCGAAAATGTCGGGGCTCGAGAGAGAGCTCTAAAGGCAATATGGGGGGACGAGTGGGTCCTCT